CTTTTTTTATAAGCAAAAATATTATTTACTTTTTGTTATTTTAGGGTTAGATCAGGGTAAAACAATCTGGGTCGAGCGCTGTACGGCAAGGACAGGCTAGGAGGCCGGGCACTGCGGCCACATGACCAATTATAACCACATTGGTACATCCATTAACAAAATTGATAGGAGGGGGTGGAGGGGGAGGGGGTCCAAAATTCGAATATTAGGAAATTACCAATTAATAGGAGGGTGGGGGGAGGGAGTTTCAAAAAACTTTCATTAGGAAATTGCCCAAGCATTTATATTTTGGGTACGTAGTAAGACGTCACTTATTTTTCAGCAAAATATTTTTTTCTTTATATATTATTTTTTTAGGGTTAGATTAGGTTAAAACAATTCCTTGGCCGAGCGCTGCGGCTAGGACAGGCTAGGGGGCCGAGCGCCGCAGCTAGGACAGACTAGTGGGCCGGGCGCAGCAGCCACATGACCAATTATATCCATGTGTTACATATAAGATTCATGTATAAAATTGATAGGAGGGTGGGCATTGGGCAGAGGGGCGGGGGGGGTAGGGTCCAACAATCGTATATTAGAAAATTACTTGTAGTTTTTTAAAGAAAAGAATTTCAATTATATACAATTTAAGTAAAAAACCTGGAAGTAGTCGAGGTGGACATGCATCCTGCAATACTCAGAGCTGAAGGGATCAGAACTTTGCAAACGTTCACCATTTTCATGCAATAAATACTTTGCACCTAGTTGAACTAACAATCTTCTGAAAATGTTACCAGACCGGTAATGTAGCACGTTGATTGTAATTAACGGATAAAGAGATTAAAACAGAAATTTTTTTAAAAATTAACCTAGAACCGTAACCCACATTGCGCATTATAAAGTAATTTCAATGTTTTTGCTCTTCCAATATTGAGCCAATTAAGTAGACAAGCGCTAGCTTCAATTGTAACCCAAGTCCGAACGTTTGTAGCCTTCTGCCGGTCTGCCCTCCGAAAATTTTTCCTGAGTAAATCTGTGCTCTTCTTGCCGGAGACTAGCTCTTGAAAATGAAAATGGCTGCCAGAGCCGATACCAGCGCCTTCTGTTCCCCTAGCGGTTGGTTAAATTTGCAAGGCACCAAATGGCCGGGTCAAGAGTCCGGTATCTTAAGAGCGGTATTAGCTAATACCGCTCTAATACCACACTTAACAATAAAACACGGAAGCACGAAACACCGAACCAGAAGGCGCTAATGCTGCCTAATTTGTGGCAGGATTATCTAGCCTAGAACAGCTGATGCGTTCATAAGTCATCCTAGCTAAAACCAGGATTATCATCCAAACTTTACCGTTTTGACTCTTCTGCGCAACTCTTTTCTCTTCTCAACTTAATAATTTGTTAATAATTATAAAGACGACTTTTAAATAATACATTTTTTATTATATGACGAAAGATAGATTAAAAATTTATGAAAATATCTTGCAAACTAAACTTTTTACATTTCATTATCAAAGTTAAAACAATAAAAACTTTTCAATAAGATATATTTTTTAGAAAAAAAATCTTTAATAAAGTTTTGCTCATAAAATGTTTTTTTTTATATTCAACACATTTTATTAATATAGTTATGTAAGGAGGATGGGGGAGGGGTCATTTTTCTGAATTAAGCAAAATAAGAAGTATTTCTTCGCTTTTTATGCATCCCTGTATTTTAAACATCCCTGTATTTCATGAGGTTGCGAGAATATCGAATCCAAACCAAATTAATACTGGTAGAACTGGTTATTTAGGGTAGATCATCCTACCTAAATCTACCCTGCGGGTAGATTAGTTAACACCGCTCTTAGTAAAACTGGCATTTCTGTTAATACCGGTATTAGCACAACTTATGAACGCGTAGGGTAGATGATCCTACCAACCAGGATTAGTTAAGAGTGCTATTAAGGGACTCTTGACCCGGCCTAAATTCAAATATCTGGTGGCAGTCCAGCGTTGCCAACTCCCAGACAAGATAATTCCCATTTTCAGTCTTGAAAATTTCCCATTTACACTAAAAATTCCCCATTTTTTATTACTGAATACACAGTAATAAAAGCTTTAAATGGTTATAAACTTTTGAAAATCTCGAGTTTTAATATGTTTAGAGAAGAACTGCCTTGACAATCAATTGATCTGAATTAGATTCGGTTTAAATACAGAGCGTCCTATATCATATTAGATTATCTCCAAGTTTTAAGTTTGTTAACGCCAAAATAAACCCATAATACTCGAAAACCCTAGAAGTTTCCGCAGAAAAATTCGTACATTAGCCTTATTCAATTTTTCAAAATCATGATAACTATAATTCATGACAGAAAATGTTGTGAATTTTAAACTATAATTTCAATGTTTATAAGCACAATTTACAAAATATATCAGTAAGTTTTAAATCTCCTGAAATACCCCAATTTTCGATCAATTCACTGGAGAATTCCCCAAAAATTCTCCCGGTTGGCAACGCTGGTCAGTGCGCTAATTTTATATTTTTCTCTTTGCTGTGGGGGCTGAGGCTTCGGAGCGACAAGCGAAATCCGTACTTGGGAAGGATTGGCGGCATTCTCTCAAAACCGGAAAAAGAAAGTGTTGTTAGGGTGCCCCCCGAAAGTATGAAAATAACAAACTAATAGGGTGGACCGAAATTGTAGATGAAGATGTAGATGAAGGATTGAGTTCTCAAGATGAAAGGATCAAGTAAAGGATTAAGTACTCTAAATATACAGGATCACGCAAAGAATGAGTACTCAAGATGAAAGGATCAAGTAAAGGATTGAGTACTGTAGATGTAAAGGATCAAGTAAAGGATTGAGTACTACAGATAAAAATTATCAAGTAAGGAATAAGATGTAAAGGATTAAGGAAAGGATTGAGTGCTCAAGATGTAAGGGATAAAGTAAAGAATTGAGTTCTCAAGATGTAAAGGATCAAGTAAAGGATTGAGTATTTAAGATGTAAAGGATCAAGTAAAGGATTTAGTATTTAAGATGTAAAGGATCAAAGGATTGAGTACTCCAGATAAAAAGTATCAAGTAAAGAAAAAGATGTAAAGGACTGGAAAGAATTGAGTGCTCAAGATGTAAAGGATCAAGTAAAGGATTGAGTATTTAAGATGTAAAGGATCAAGTTAAGGATTCAAAACTCCAGATGTAAAGGATCAAGTATGTCTGGATTGCTAGGTTGGATAATTACGACAGGGGTTTCCTGTTATCTCTTTTTAGTCTTGTTACCTTCAATCAACCTCATCTAATATCTCGCTTTTTTCGATAGTTTTTCTGAATTTCAACACAAATCACATAAACCAGTCTATATCTATATCTAACCCACATCCAATCCAGCCCATATAACACCCAACCCACCATATCCAATCCAATCGTTACCCAATTCAACCCAAATCCCATTCAACCCATCATATTCCATCCAAACCATATTCCTATTGAACCCATATTACATCCTTCCCATCCATATCCAATCCAACTTATATTCCATCCATCCCACACCCAATCCATGGGAT